TTGATAAACCTGAGAAAAACAAGAAATGGGGAAAAGATTCCCTATTTAATAAATGGTGCTGGGAGGCCAGGCGCGGTGGCTCAAGCCTGTAATCCCAGCACTTTGGGAGGCCGAGACGGGCGGATCACGAGGTCAGGAGATCGAGACCATCCTGGCTAACACGGTGAAACCCCGTCTCTACTAAAAATTACAAAAAACTAGCCGGGCAAGGTGGCGGGTGCCTGTAGTCCCAGCTACTCGGGAGGCTGAGGCAGGAGAATGGCTTGAACCCGGGAGGCGGAGCTTGCAGTGAGCTGAGATCTGGCCACTGCACTCCAGCCAGCCTGGGCGACAGAGCAAAGACTCCGTCTCAAAAAATAAATAAATAAATAAATAAATAAATAAATAAATAAATAAATGGTGCTGGGAAAATTGGCTAGCCATAAGTAGAAAGCTGAAACTGGATCCTTTCCTTACTCCTTATACGAAAATTAATTCAAGATGGATTAGAGACTTAAATGTTAGACCTAATACCATAAAAACCCTAGAAGAAAACCTAGGTAATACCATTCAGGACGTAGGCATGGGCAAGGACTTCATGTCTAAAACACCAAAAGCAATAGCAACAAGAGCCAAAATTGACAAATGGGATCTAATTAAACTAAAGAGCTTCTGCACAGCAAAAGAAACTACCATCAGAGTGAACAGGCAACCTACAGAATGGGAGAAAATTTTTGCAATCTACTCATCAGACAAAGGGCTAATATCCAGAACCTACAAAGAACTCAAACAAATTTACAAGAAAAAAAAAAACAGGCCGGGCGCGGTGGCTCAAGCCTGTAATCCCAGCACTTTGGGAGGCCGAGACGGGCGGATCACGAGGTCAGGAGATCGAGACTATCCTGGCTAACACGGTGAAACCCCGTCTCTATTAAGAAATACAAAAAAAAAAAAAAACTAGCCAGGCGAGGTGGCGGGCGCCTGTAGTCCCAGCTACTCGGGACGCTGAGGCCGGAGAATGGCGTGAACCCGGGAGGCGGAGCTTGCAGTGAGCTGAGATCTGGCCACTGCACTCCAGCCTGGGTGACAGAGCGAGACTCCGTCTCAAAAAAAAAAAAAAAAAAAAAACAACCCCATCAAAAAGTGGGCAAAGGATATGAACAGACATTTCTCAAAAGAAGACATTCATACAGCCAACAGACACATAAAAAAATGCTCATCATCACTGGCCATCAGAGGAATGCAAATCAAAACCACAATGAGATACCATCTCACACCAGTTAGAATGGCAATCATTCAAAAGTCAGGAAACAACAGGTGCTGGAGAGGATGTGGAGAAATAGGAACACTTTTACACTGCTGTTGGGATTGTAAACTAGTTCAACCATTATGGAAAACAGTATGGCGATTCCTCAAGGATCTAGAACTAGAAGTACCATATGACCCAGCCATCCCATTACTGGGTATATACCCAAAGGATTATAAATCATGCTGCTATAAAGACACATGCACACGTATGTTTATTGCAGCACTATTCACAATAGCAAAGACTTGGAATCAACCCAAATGTCCATCAGTGACAGACTGGATTAAGAAAATGTGGCACATATACACCATGGAATACTATGCAGCCATAAAAAAGGATGAGTCTGTGTCCTTTGTAGGGACATGGATGCAGCTGGAAACCATCATTCTCAGCAAACTATCACAAGAACAGAAAACCAAACACCGCATGTTCTCACACATAGGTGGGAACTGAACAATGAGATCACTTGGACTCGGGAAGGGGAATATCACACACCGGGGCCTATCACGGGGAGGGGGGAGGGGGGAGGGATTGCATTGGGAGTTATACCTGATGTAAATGACGAGTTGATGGGTGCAGCACACCAACATGGCACAAGTATACATATGTAACAAACCTGCACGTTATGCACATGTACCCTAGAACTTAAAGTATAATAATAAAAAGAAAAAAAAAAGAAATAAAATCTAATTGTTTGCAATAGCTTACAAAGACCTGCATGATCTGACTCCACCATCTCTCTGACCTACCCACTTAATGTTTTTCAGGATAAGGAAAGAAGGAATGGTTCCTATCCTTTTACAAAAAAAAGCATGAAAAACAGTAACATGACAAAAAGAAAAACATTCCCTGTAAAATTCCTCCCCACCCCCTGCCCAACATTCAATTTTTTTCATGTTGCCAGCTTTAGCAAATCCAGAGGAAGACACTGAACTTGGACTCATTTTTTTTAGATGATAGAGAAGCTAAACTTAAATTTATTTTTAAAGAAACTGAAGAAACATGAATTTAATGGGCAAATTTATACCTGAATAAGACTTTAAAGACATTAAACTTACTGAAAATACTGTCTTTCAAGTTATTTAGAAATCCCTATTTAGAATAAATAATCACTTATGTATTAACACAGTCAACCAAAGGAACTTACACTTGATGTATCTGCTAAATGTAACCGGTTATGAGCCAGCCTTTGCCAATATCTCACAAATGAATATACTGATGTCCGTATCCCCACCCATCATTTCCTCTCTCTAGCCTCAGCCCTGCCTCCCAGAAGGGCTAACATGCTCTCAAAGAACTCCCCACTGTGTCAATGCTGATAAAACTGAGGATCCAGTGTCCCATGAGATGATCTTTGAGGTGTCCTTACTGACCTCCAAACACAATACTTCCTTTACCTTCCCACTTCCTTTGTAAAAATTCACACAATATTAAAAAACCCAAAATAGCTCACATTTGGAAGACATTAAGCCACACTTCTTTTAAAACTTAGCTGGGATTTTAATTTTCTACATATTTGTACATTCCTTCTCGAAGATAATTCCAAAGTAGATAGTGCTGAGATTTTACAGTAGTTCTTCTCGGCTCTCGTTTCTGAAGCTTGAGCCTCCTACTTAATTGTTAGTGGGTTAGCGGGGTACCAGGAATTTAAGCCTGGGGTCTCCTCGCACACTACTCTTTCAAATAAACACATGGCCAGAAAAGTTACAAGAAATTGTAGGTGGTGTTCACCTATTCTTCTTTCCCTGTGAGCGCTGGTACGGCTGGTCTTTTTCTTTCCTGGACTGTAACCTCTTTCCTTCTGAGTCGCTTCCTTTTCTGCCATAAATTCAAATGCCTACTGCTCCACTCCAAATTCACTCCTCTCTGCTCTAATAAATTGCCTCTTATATTTTTGTCTTATTGCCTTGCTCTGAATTTACACCTTTGTCTCAAGAATGCCAACGCTTCTAAAAATATTCCATAATTCCTGGAGTAAGAAGCGCAAGGCAATTTCTTCCTGAAAGTGGGTTTCATTCTTAATTCTTTGTATAAACAAATGTTCCTTTAACTGCTTTATCCCTAAATTATGCAGAGGCTCCATCAGACAAGCCAGTTAGCATTCTGACCCTTCATGCTTGCGCTCCCTTACAGGGCAAGCTGGGTTAAAAATAATACCAGATTCCTTTTGGAGGCTGAGACGGGCGGGTCACAAGGTCAGGAGATCGAGACCATCCTGGCTAACACGGTGAAACCCCGTCTCTACTAAAAAAATACAAAAAAACACAAAAAACAAAAAACAAAAAACTAACCGGGCGAGGTGGCAGGCTCCTGTAGTCCCAGCTACTCAGGAGGCTGAGGCAGGAGAATGGCGTGAACCCGGGAGGCGGAGCTTGCAGTGAGCTGAGATCCGGCCACTGCACTCCAGCCCGGGCGACAGAGCAAGACTCCGTCTCAAAAAAGAAAAGAATAATAATAATAATACCAGATTCATTCATTCACTCAACCAACAAATAACAAATAAAAGGCATCATAGCAGGTAAGAAGGTATAGAAAATGTGTTGTTTGTCCTTAGGGAGCTTATAAACAAACAAATACATAGACTCAAAAGCAGTATGAAAGAAGGACCTATGGGCACATATTGTATAGTATGAATACTTAAAAAACAGAGTTCTGCTTGTCCACTCCCAATAAAAAGTAATTCTTAATAAAAGTGAAACTTCAATCAACAATGTGTGCTTCCACCTCTCTGCAGCTCAAACTATATAGGCTCCCGTGACCTATATATTTCATATTAATAGAAGTCCTTTATTTTATGTTAATATGGTAAATAAAGCATACTTTGCCAAGCTATTTTAGACTTTATGGCTCTGAATTTGGAAATCAAAGCATGGTTCTGATTCTTATTCTCTAAGTTCTCTAGAGAGTCAAGTTATTTAGAAAATGAACATATCCATTTACTTAGTACACAGTAAGTTCTCCTAGATTGGTTTCTCTTCCAAGACACTCACTACTGCCCTGATATCCACTTACTGCCTATTGTGTGTATTTCTCACTTTCCTACATCAAAAGAGGATACTTAACTACAAAGAACTTAAACACGGGATCTGCAAACGCAGCAGCTGTAAAGACCTGCCTCTCACCACAGTGAAAATGCTGGGGGATGTTAAAATTGAAGTTGAGGAACTATGTATTTCAAAGTGCTTTGATTCATTTAACAGTCATTTTTTATTTCAAAGCCATTATATCAGAGTTATTTGCATTGCTACTGCATAAACTCTGAGATCTATTGTATTAAAAAATGTTTTATTATGTTATTTTCCCCCAAAAGATAAATATGCCTTCAATTTTAAAATGAAAGTCTTTGGGAAATGAGTTTTCAATATACAGAAACTCACTTCACAAAAAATACCAGGTCTTGAACCACATTTAAAGTGCCCCTGTATTTCATATTGATCCTCTATAAAATACATTTTTAGCTTCCAAAGGGGAGTGTCTCATCTTACTCCTGTCACTCTAAGAATCCAGAAAGAAAAAAAAAACATGGTATTAAGAATCAAGCAAGGCAAAGTCATTTTATAACTAAATTCTTTAAAGGATACTTATCCAGGCTTCACATAGCAATAAACTTTTCAACAATTACTAACAGCTAAGCCATTAGAGACAGCTAATGACCCAGTACTGGATAGCCATCCTCTCTCAACCCCAAATCCAGTCTGTATGACCAGATACCTACCGCTCGCCCTGGCTTCCGGGTAAGAGGGAGCATCCTCGAAAGTGAAGAACTGGGGCACGCTCTGGCCCAGGTAAGAGGGAGGCGGGTAGTAAGAATGCATCCTGTACTGGGAGCTCATTGCATGGCGGTTCTCCATGTTCTTCATCTGCTTAAAAAAAAAGAAGAAATATACTGAGACCAACATTGTATGTCACAACTAGTACAATAATTGCCTAATTCTTTAAAATAAGGTAACAGGCTGGGCACAGTGGCTCATGCCTATATTCCCAACACCTTGGGAGGCCAGGGTGGGAGGATCACTTGAGCCCAGGAGTTCAAGACCAGCCAAGGCAACACAGTGAAACCTGTTTTCTACATAAAAATCAAAAAACTGGCTGGGTGTCATAGTGCACAAGTGAGATCTCAGCTCAGGAGGCTGAGGTGGGAAGATCACTTGAACCCAGGAGTTTGAGGCTGCAGTGAGCCATGACTGCTTGCACTACTGCACTCCAGCCTGGGCAACAGAGCAAGATCCTGTCTCAAAAAAAAAAGAAGCAAATTAAGGGAATGGCCTATTTAAGTTGGAAGTGGCCTCAGCCATGAACATGCTCCTCCAATGTACTGGGCCTAGAACTATGATGGTGCCCTTTATATCTTAAGGTCCCCTCTAAAGCACCCCTGAAATTCCTTCTGGTCATCTGGTGCTCGATTAACCAGTATAAAAGAGAACAGGGTGGTGGAGAGGGGACAGTGCTGCTTAGGAGACAACACAATCTGCTGCAACACTAACACATTTGTTTGAACGGGAGCAAGCTATCAGACCTCTTCCCATGTTTCTTCATGTGTAAAACTGGCATTTTATCTTGGTTACCTTACAGAGTTCATATGAGGAGAGTATTTAAAAAGACTGTAGGCTGGGTGCAGTGGCTCACACCTGTAATCCCAGCACTTTGGGAGGCCGAGATGGGTGGATCACGAGGTCAGGAGAGCAAGACCATCCTGGCTAACACGGTGTGGTGTTAGCCAGGGTGTCGTGGCCGGCGCCTGTGGTCCCAGCTACTCAGGAGGCTGAGGCAGGAGAATGGCGTGAACCCGGGAGGCGGAGCTTGTAGTGAGCCAAGATAGCGCCACTGCACTCCAGCCTGGGCGACAGAGCGAGACTCCGTCTCAAAAAAAAAAAAAAAAAAAAAAAAGATAAACCAGTTCTGTTCGGAAATATGAATAATTTCAAAATAAACTAGAATAATTCAAAATCATGTTTTCCAATGAAATATTTTAAGTGCTACTTGAAAAAGAAAATAGGACTAACTTGACAGAGCCTGGTAGTGTAAAACTAGGTACTGGGCTTCCTCATTTTCTATGAACATGTAGATTCTGGACAATTCACCAACTAACGCTAGCTTAAGTGTACTTTGGGTATTATGATGCTGTTTGATAGAAAGAGCTAATTCCCTGATTTCTGCCTGATGCTTTGAGAAGCTCAAGGAATTTATTTTTGATCTCTACTGCTCCCAAGCTGAAATCTATGTTCTCATGAGTGGATTATTTCTTCTGGAGAAGCAAAGAAGACATCATTACAGGTGACTATTTCCTTTCAAGTGAAGTTTACCTGGGCAAGTCCCCTTTGTCCTTTCTGGTTTGTTTTTCTAAAGTATATTAAATGGTGTCACTTCTAGGCCAATCACCCTGTTTTCACTTTCTACCATTACATTAAATTTTTACTAAATAAAAGGTTAAAGAAGCTTTACTTGGAAAATAGCAAAAAAGGAAAAACTGGCTACCCCCAACGAGTAAGACCACATGGCAGGAGAGTCCATTAAGAAGCCATTAAACCATTTAAGAGAAAAGGGACAATCGTGGTACCTACTTACTACACATACCCAGTTATCAATTAGAACAGTGCAGCATCTTTCAATGATTCCCAGCATCTCTCAATGTGCATACGAATGGCCAGGGGGTCCTGTTAAAATGCAGGTCCTGATGTATAGTTAAGACTGGGGTGGAGGCCAGGTGCAGTTACTCACGCCTGTAATCCCAGTACTTTGGGAGGCCGAGACGGGCGGATCACCAGGTCAGGAGATCGAGACCATCCTGGCTAACATGGTGAAACCCCATTTCTACTTTAAAAAATACAAAAAATTAGCCAGGCATGGTGGCAGGTGCCTGTAGTCCCAGCTACTCAGGAGGCTGAGGCAGGAGAATGGTGTGAACCAGGAGGCAGAGCTTGCAGTGAGCTGAGATTGCGCCACTGCACTCCAGCCTGGGCAACACAGCGAGACTCTGTCTCACAAAAAAAAGACTGGGGTGGAGATGCTGATACTGCTGGTGCCCAGGGACTAGAATAAGTGATCCTTCCTCTCATACTTAGTAACCTCTCACAGCCCACGACCAAAGGAAAACCTTCTAAAAAAAATTTTTTTTGAGACTGAGTCTCATTCTGTTGCACAGACTGGAGTGCAATGGCACAATTTCGGCTCACTGCAACCTCTGCTTCCTGGGTTCAAGTTATTCTCCTGCCTCAGCCTCCTGAGTAGCTAGACTACAGATGCCTACTCTACAGACACACACCACCACTTCCAGCTAATTTTTGTATTTTTAGTAGAAACGGTGTTTCGCCATGTTGCCCTGGCTGGTCTCAAATTCCTGGCCTCAAGTGATCCGCCCGCCTCGGCAACCCAAAGTGCTGAGATTACAAGCGTGAGCCACTGCCCCTGGCTTAAAAATTTTTTTACCAGCTGTTTACAACCATCCAGGTTCCAGCTGAACTGGAAGAGGGAAAATATGTAAATAGCAATTTTTAATTTTCATTCTTTTTTATTTTTATACAGAAAATTCCCCAGAACTAAAAGTTTTTTTCAGGGGTCTGCTGCCATCTACAACTGCTGCAGCAGTAAACACAAACTCAAACACACTTTGAATTGAAAAGCCATTTCTGTCTCCATAGACTTCCTTAAGTCAATTACACAGTCTAAGTAATGAACACTGAATTAGAAGCAAGGTGCCGACGTAAGCCGTAATAGAAATAATGGAGCCTCTCTGCTCTGGGTGCTGAGTTTGTCACATCTACTTCGGGTTTGACAATATCTGCAAGCCAGTCCTTCAAGGCAAATGCTTTTCAATTTTCCCAGGGTACAAGAAAAGTGATAGGATTTGAGCCTAAATGCTCTGCAAAACGCTGGATTTTTTTTTTTATACTATGAAAGTTTACACAAACCTTCCTTTCAAAATGTTTGAAAAATGTTAACCGTGAGTCTATAGCAGGGGTCAGCAAACTTTTCATTGTAAATGGTCAAACAGCAAGTATATTTTAGGCAAGCCATACAGTCTCTAGCAATTTGTAAAATGAATGGACATGGCTGTGTTCCAATAAAACTTTATTTGTAAACAGTGGTACTGATTTCTTCTCAAACTTCACTCTCGCTGGAGTAAGGTGAGAAGGGAACCCAGTACTGATGCCTGGACTCCACTCAAGAAAATCTGGTTTAACTGCTCTGGGATGTGGCCTGGGCCCCATGTATTTTCAAAGATCCCAGGTAATTCTAATATGACACCAAGATTGAGAACCAGTGCTCTACAATTACCAACATATCGTCCACATACCTTGGAAATACGAGATCCCAACAATCCCCTATATTAACTAAAACATGTGAAAGGCTAAACCTGACAAACAGACTGGCTAACTGCTGCCAATCCCAATGTATATATTATTTGACAAAAAGACGAAGATGAACAGTAAAATTCTTTTTTCTTTAAACTAACGCTTACTGGAAAATAAATACAATTTCAAATCCACGCGTATGCTTATTTATTCCCTTAATTCCTTTTCCACGTTTTCAGAAAGCATGAAATAAAAAGAATTATTAGGAAATAGGAATTTAGTCATTTATACTCAAACATTCACTATCCTTAATGAATCCCCAAGATCACTGAGCTATAAAAGACTTCCAGTAAAAGAAGAAAAAGATACGAAGGGTCAGACTCCATTTGAGGTTACTAGAATATGAACTGATACGGTTTGGCTCTGCGTCCTCACCCAAATCTCATCTCACACCGTAATCCCCACGGGTTGAAGAAGATTCCTGGCAGGCGGTGATTGGATCATGCGGGCGGTTCCCTCGATCTGTTCTGATGATATGGAGGGAGTTCTATTGAGATCTGATGCTTTAAAAGTGTTTGGCAGTTTCCCCTGTTCTCTTTCTCCTCTCTCCTGCTGCCTTGTGAAGAAGAGAAGGTGCCTACTTCCCCTTCGCTTTCTGCCATGCTACAAGTTTCCTGAGGTCTCCCCAGCCATGCTGAACCGTGAGTTACTTAGACCTCTTTTTTGTTTACAAATTACCCAGTCTCGGGTAGTATCTTTATAGCAGTGTGAGACCAGACTAATACATGAACTTACTGAGGTCATCAGTCACTTCAGCCACATACACCTCAAAGAATAATCCAGAACAACCCATCCACGTGACAACTTGCTCATAAGAGGACAGTTCTATGTGTTTCTAAGTGTATGTGTAGCCATGTAAACATGACGTTAAAACTGCAATTCATGGATGGGCGGGGTGGCTCACGCCTGTAATCCCAACACTTTGGGAGGCTGAGGCGGGTGGATCACCTGAGGTCAGGAGTTCAAGACCAGCCTGACCAACATGGTGAAACCCCATCTCTACTAAATACAAAAAAAATTAGCTGGGTGTGGTGGCAGGTGCCTGTAATCCCAGCTACTTGGGGGAACTGAGGCAGGAGAATTGCTTGAACCCAGGAGGCAGAGGTTTCAGTGAGCTGAGATTGCACCATTGCACTCCAGCCTGGACGACAGAGTGGGACTCCGTCTAAAACCAAAAACAAAAACTGCAATTAGTCCAGAAAAAGGCACGGCAGAATGCAATTTCAAAGTAAATCACTTCCTGCTCTCTTCTAACTTTAAAAAGAAAATCACAACCCTGCTACTTTTGGCTTAAACAAAATGGGAAAATAACGAAGCCTTTGAAACTCACTTTACTTAAACCAGTAGTTCTCAACGAGGGGCAGTCTGGTCCTCCACGGGGCATCTGGCAACATCTGGAGATGCTTTTGATTGTGATAAGGGGGCAGGGAGTTGATGCTGGCATCTAGTGGTCAAGGTCAGGGATGCTGCTGACTGTTACTACACGGTAGTGTCCTACAGTTCCCACA